CTAGGATTATAATCAATTGAGACGTGGTAAAACAACACCACAAGTTGAATAAATTCGACTTTTTGGGGAAACGAAAGAGAATGACAAGTTTCATTAAGAAGAACGGAATTTATACTACAAGGACAAAAAAAAGAAAATATCGACAATGACGTTCTTGCTTGTTACAAAACAAAAAAGAAAAAAGGTCTTTAAATTAAGAGACATAAAAAGAAGAAAAGTCAATAGTATTGACGAAGGAGAAAATTGAAAAAGAACAAATAGAAAAGAAAGAATGAAGGAAAAAAGACGATATCAAGTAAATTCATTTATATAACGAATGAGGACTAATTCTCAATCATTTTTTATGTAGCACTAAATGATCACTATTGTAATTCAAACTAAGGTTAGATCTCATTTTTAAATTGAACGAAACAGAAAAATTTGCGTATCTATGATATTTTTCAAAATTACGTAGTAGTGGCTTCCCTGTCAGTACACGATTCGACATTTCTTCTTGGACTAGCTTCAAGCTTTGCGATCGAACAATTGGATTTTGATCACAACGTTCTCTTTTTCCCGGTAGATAAAATTAATAAGGAAATAAAATAAATAACAAGCTGAATATGTTTCTTTGTATCGCACACATATTGCATGAATCTATGCACGGATCGTTGAAACTTCTAGTCAGCACTTTCGATTCTACCTATTTCATGTGTGAACAAATCAAATCAGTAATACTGAATATGTCTTAAGGCTAAGTTGTAATTTTCAAAGAGTGCAAGAAAACATTACTGAAAAAGTTAATTTAGGGAATATAAGCTGACCAAAATAAGACTACAGAACTATAATAATCGACAACACATATTGCTAAAGAAATGTGATCCCAAACATACTGTATTATTGTTTCGTTAAAAAGCTTAAGAAATAAAAGCTTTCAATTTTATTTAAATTTGATTTTAAATTTAATGTGGAATTAATATGAATTTAAAATAAATTCACAGAAGAACATTACCCCTATTCAGTGGTATGATAGAGCGTTTTAACGCTTCGTGATAGAAAAATAAGCGCGAATAGAAATCAACACAAAACAAATGGCGAATAAAAAAAATTAAATCGATAATGATAATGACTATCAACAGTATAGAAACCAAAGAAGACGAAAAAAGCACTTAGATGATTGAAGAAATTAGAAAATGTCTGACATGAATAGGTGAACGAATATGCATTCGATTCGAGCTATTCTTATTTCATAAAGAAATTTCTAAACCATTAAAGTCTTATGTGGTCTTAAGGATGATTGCATGTAAATGCCACATTCTAGTTCAATTTGTGACTGCACTGATAAACTTTTTTAACTGTCAACGGATGACATGGTGGCTAGCAATATACGTTTCATTTAGAACCTATCTTAATTCTCTTGAGCAAGCATCTTCTAAATTTCAACTTTTTCACTTTTACCGATTTTTCTACCGTCATTTTGGCGACATTCAGCTATTGACTACTTTCATGGTACATTTGACGATGTGATAATGTTGTATTCTTTTCACACAAAACATAAACATGATGCAGATATTAGCTTTGTGCTGATCAAAGTAATGGAAAATATGATACTTCATTACTCCAATATCCCACATCTATGGAATATTTATGCCTTAATCCGATATTGATTGATAGGATCACTTCAGTACAGACAGCTATATAAGATGCAATCAGAATGTATCATTTAATTTTTATCCTGGCACAATACACTTAGATGGTAAAAATGATTCATTTTATTACTCTGCTATTACTTGGCACTTTGTCATCACTTACGAAGTGTGAATCATCAAAAGATTTTGGTATCATGATTCTTTATCTGACTGGTCGCCATCCAAGCGATTATAATCGCTATGGATGCTGGTAAGTGTGAAAAGTCAAAAATATTTTCCTACATTCGTATCCATATTCAGGTGTAGTACTGGTGTTTCAAACGCCACTCACAGCTTACCTATTGACGAAACAGATTCTTGTTGTAAAATGCAATTGGAATGCTATGATCGTATAAAAGCAATGAATATATCATTCATGACTGATTGGAAATATCGTACCACATATTATGACAATAAAATTCAATGTGTTGACTTTGATGAAAGTCCAAATCGCGAGTTGTGTTTATGTGATAAACGTGCTGCCGAATGCCTCAGAGGAGCGCTTTCCACATACAGTTCTGATAAGAAAGACATGAGTTTATCATCGGCTTGTAAACCAAAAGGTTAGTAAAAATGGATTTGTTTTGTGTCGAAAAATTCGAATCATTGAAAGAATTAGCAATGGTAAATAGCATATTCTGAGTATTATTCAATTAGTTACTAAACGAATGTTGGCGCTTCCACTCTGAAGTTTATGAAAATGTGATCAAATCTAATGAAAACTGTTTGTGGAAGATAGCCACTTGCAGAGCTCGATAGCTCCAATATTTTCTATCTCTGGAGAAAAAATAGTCGCGCCAACTCCAGCGCTGGCTTCAGTCATACGCTTAGTTTGTACGATCAAGTCCGATCCCAATAATTATTTTCATCGATTCAATTAAAACCAATCTGACTTATAGGTTCTATTTCAAACTATCAGATAATCACTTGTTAAATCAGAAATCTTTTCCAAAAATAGGGATGTATTTTCTATGAAGCACAGTTAAATAGACTACGTAGTTCTTAATCCCATAAAAATTTGCTGCGTGCATTTTAAACGTTACCAATAAGTTTGTACCTGAGATACTTCAATGCAAACACATTCATACATTATAAACAGGAGGATCGCACAGTTTTAGGCAACATCTTTGCTGATGATTAGCCCATGTAAAAGTAACTGGTGTTACATCAAGACTTAATGTTACAGTAATTCAGCGAAATCTTTTTTCAAGCTTCATTTCTTCATTTTGTCCTTTTTTAAGTTTAGACCCTAGTTCAATTCTTTACAAAATCATATGAAAACAGCATATTCAAAACTTAACTGTTAAAACGAATGTGATCAAGATTTTTATGTCTTGAAATAGTTAGTTTTCAAATAATTACTTTAATTTTATTTTACGTAGTCCATCTAAGAATGAATCAGGGTCTAAACCAAACTAGACGATTAAAAATGTGAGAAGGATGGTTGATGTGTAAATTATTGATGTCTTCTCTCAGTTTTTTAGAAGAGGAAAATAATACCGTAATAGCAAGTATACGTGGATTAATTGTGGTACTATTCAGAAGAAAAAAAAATTGAAAAAGATGAAAGTAACCATGAAGAAAAGTTGAGTCATTCATTCGATAGAGCTCCACTTGTTGTATATAAAACAAATATTTTCTCAACAATCAATTTTTTCATGTGGAAAAAAATCTATTTTTTCTAAGTTAATAAATATTCCAAGGTTTCTTGACTAAATAAAGTATCTAAATATATATTTTTTTGCATTATTATCGGACATTAATCGAATTACTTTGAAAATGAGAATCTAGCAAGAAATGTACAGAGCTTTATCACATATATGCATGCAGGTGCAACAATGTAATGTGATTGTTAACATTGATAACACATAGTCTTCAAGGAACTCCGTGTGACTGAGTTCTTTTTTAATATTCTTTCCAAATAGCAATCAGAGCTATAATTGTGTGTAGATGGGGACTGCTGGCGAGAATAAATAGAAGATAAATATCTATATTCACACCTACACTCTGAAAGTAACTTTTTTTTTGTCGAATAACTATCATTGAAACTTGTCAAAACATTTCTATACCAAAGAAAATTCATTGGGAAATTGTTCGAGTAAAATACTGTTTTTCTCTTGAACGCTACACTTTGAAGAGCTGATATTTCTATCACAGTTCTGCCATGTCGTCTATTAACAATGATAAAAACAAATTGATTGATCTCTTGTAGTTACCTAGAAATCAAAGAAAAATAAAATATCTGTCGGGACATGCAGTAGAAAAATACCTAGCTTTTCCTCGTTGTTTTTATTTCATCCAGGAGTTCCTAGAAAAACATCTTTTTACCAGGAGATTTCTGGCCATTTAGTCTAGCTAACTGAAAAAAGAATGTTCGAGTTTCCTGTTAAATCGGCTTTAGCAGCTTCAATTTTATCGATCGGAACATGAAATGGTCAAAATGTATGTTTGAGTAGTTTTCACAACATTTTATGGATAAATCGAAACCAAAACTGTGATCGATTTATATTGTCAGAAAGAGGAAAGTCTTAGCTACGAAAAAATTCTAAAAAGTTATTTCTATCTGATCAGAATTATGGGACAGAGAAGTGATTTTCTTAGGTAGATAACATGAAAAAGTACTGATTTTTTACCATTTTTACTTGAAAACTGCGTAGTAACGGCAACCAAAATATTTGATATTTTCACATTAAGTAGAATTAGAAACTAAGAAGTCATTGAAAACAATTGCTCCAATTCGTTGAGTAGAGAAGTACAGATATAAATGTTTTTATGTTTGAAGCGCAACAATACAATCCGAGCGAAATTCAAGCACCTATGCGTCAGGGATGAAGGACTGGATCTAGAGTTTGGGGCTTTCAAACACTTTTTTTGTAAGAATCTGCACAGAGAAAAGGCTTTTCATGCGAATGTTGTAGAAGGTCAGAGGAGGTGCGTTCGATTTCCATGTCCCTTTCCCGTAAAGTTATCATAGACATCATAGAAGGAGGGGGTCATCTATAAAGGCGATTATTCGAACTATTTTGTGCACGGGCGTAACTTATTGAGGGAAGGGGGGCGAGACACGGCCTAGTCTGAACTAAACCCTAAAAACCAAGAAGTTATTAACCTTCCCCTCATCTCCGAGTTTGAAGCTTAGGTAAGCCAGTGCTTGCGGGAAACCTTCTAATATGATTGGAGGACTTTTTATTACGTGAAGAATTCCAATTAATGGTTAAAAAAAACGATTTATCAAAGAACGTAGAAAATTATTACTACATTGAGAAAATATTCTCTCTGTTTATCGTTACAGTTAATGATACTATTCTTCGCTGGGATCCAGTTGGAATCACAGTCGTTGGCACCACTGGAGTGGCAGGTGTGGCCGGAAACCTATTGAATATACCTTATGGTTTGGCGCTCGATTCAACCAATACACTATATATCGTTGATCATTATAACCATCGAGTTCAAAAATGGGTTCTAGGTGCTTCAAATGGTTCCACAGTAGCTGGCCAAACAAATGGAGCGCCTGGATCAAGTGATAGCCATCTCACTCACCCTGCTGGGATTGCTGTCGACTCGGATGGAAATGTATTCGTGGTTGATACTAATAATCATCGTGTTCAACGATGGCGAAAAGATGCATCTTCTGGTACTACGGTAGCGGGAGTAACAGGTATGCAAATTCAAGAGAACTTTTGAGCATAGTATGCAGAAAGAATTCTTCTTATGGTGAAAGCTTTTCGACAAAAGCTGGAACTCGATGTATGATATCATATTTTCTTTTTTGACTTATGAGCTGATGTCTGAGCAAAGAGAAACTGTTTATTTTATGAGCTTCTTCAAAATTGGCGGATATTCCACCATTACTGTTTTAAATAGCATCCTTTTTACTACATCAAGGTAAGGAGACACGAAGAAGGAAAAAAGACAGCATACCATACTACAGCAGAAGCATGATTCATTGCAGCAAATGGGAAAATCGTGCTTATGTGAGACTGGTATTGTTTTTGGCATACAGAATTCATGACTTGTAAATGAAAGTACTTATTTTCAAAAAATGAAAAGTTATTTTAGCACGGAAAAATGGTAAAATGTACTTTTAACGATCAATTTCCGTGTCCATAGGATTTTCCACGATTGGTAGCAGTACCAATGGAATTATTTGATGATTACTTGTCATGCGAGGAACTTTCTGATTAACTATAATAATAGTTGCAGGGGCGTACTTTCTAAATACAGGTAAATGCAGATAGCTCCTTTCGTCTCCGTGCTTCTGCAGCTTTTCAACAGGGTTATTTCCAAGACTGAGATTATGGACAAGATTCCTTAGTTTTGCAGGGGAGGAAAGGGTCATCTCTCAGTTTCAAGGTTCCATACGCCCATGAATAGTTAAAAAAATACATACATTGCCGGCATAAGCTGTTGATTACAAGCGCTGGCAAAGGTATCATTGCCAATCAGTGAAAAGTAGAATAACAGAACTTTCGGCACGAATGGAAAGCTGCGATGATAGACTTTAAAGCGAAAAGGAGAAATAGTGATAAATAGTTTGGGTAAAAGCTCGTTTACAGAGAAAGAAAGCAGTAATAGAATCATACGGGTAGCAAAAAACTGATTGGGTTTTGGTTAATGTTTCCATATGATAGATACTCGTATTTGAATCCGAAAAGCAATTTAAGTACTTTCGTCCTTTCCCTTTTTTCAACGAAAACATCGACTTTAACAAACAATGTAGAATATGAAAAGATATTGTTTAACCAACATTCTGCTACATCATGATAATTTGTTTGAGTAAGCTCCTGTAAAAGCCACGATTTCACTGATTTCAATACATTCTATTTTTCTTTTTTTCAATTCACTAGATAAACAATATTTTCACCTGGTTTTAATATATGAGTGACTGCTATGAGCAAAGGAATGTTCATTTTGTTGTTGTCCTTTACTCACTATTTGGTTCTACGAAGAATATTCGTATAAAGCTAATTATGCAATTCAGTTTTTTGAGCTCCCATACGCTGCTACTATGACTGAACGATAGAGAAAGACGGCGATAGTGATCATGAGCAACACTGAGGAAGATATGATAGGGAAACATATCGAAATTTATGTTTGACTCAGTTGACATCATGACTAGAATATTTCAAGAGGTACACAATACTCAGATATTGAATAGTAGACGAAAGAAAAAAGATGAAAATTATTGAGTAAGAGTGATATATTGAGGGTAGATGAGTGAGGGAGAGTATATCGAGGATTTGGTGTCAATGTGATGGCGATTGTGGGTAAATAGAAGACTTTTACTCACATACCATATTTTCAAACTCATCTATTCATACCTGAACTGAAACAAGCGAGTTGCTCAGAGAAAAATATGTAGCTGAAATGGCTTTGGTGATGATGACTATCGCTCTTTTGCTTTTCTCTACTTTGTCTCTTGGCTGTTTCTCTGGCTAGCTGGAAGAGTAGCTCTCTCACTGCCATCGATAATGATACTATATTGAACTACTTCATCACTCTAGTCGCATTCGTATCGGATTTGTAACCGGTAGGTGGTTTTTTCCTTACCCGTACCGATTCTGATCTAAACTGGTTAAAACATATTGGACCGACCAATAGTCTAGCATTAGTAATTTTTCACGTTTTTCATTCTTTAAGCATCGAATCAACTTCTCGATTAGTCATAACTACCTCTGAGTCACTTCAGCACTAGGGGTGATGAATTTACATTGACGAAAATTTATTAAATCCAAAAATAAATGCTGAAAAATTTAAGTTTGAAATAAATTTAATCTTCTTTCTCATGAAAATTTGAGTTTATTTTAAATTTAAATTGAATTAAAGTGGATTTATATTGCATTTAAATCTGTTTCAATCCATCTCTATTGAATTTATATACATTTCAATCCGATTTAAATAGATTAACCTCGATTAATCCAATTTAAATGAGTTTGAATTCGTTTTAAGTCAATTCATATATAATTTAAATTGGCTTGAAATCCAATTGAAATTGAAATTTACAATAAGTTAACAGAAATATGGCATGCCTGTTCAGAAATTATGTAAAACTGCTGTTTCACTGTTATGGAGCTTTTATCAAATATGATTGTTAATGAGCATTGAAGTATATGGCGAGAAAATTGATTCCATCTTCCCTAGCTTGTTCGAAAGACATTGACAAACATGTCGATATTCTTCTAGCCTAAGAACAGACTGTGACGGAAATTGCGATATATGTGTAATGGTCTAGCGGAGTTTTTCGATGTGCTAGTTTTCGCTTCTGTCATGATCTGACACATAGATGATGAGCTTCCCAAACGCGAAAAGCTAAACCTACGGACTTTATCGTGCGCCAGCATACTTCAAGAGTATGCCCAACCTGTCCTTCATAACTTCTTGGTTATAACATGTCTAAAATCAACATGCGTCGGAAACATATTAGTTTGAGCTCATTTTATATAAGTCTGTCTGTTAATTAAACCCAAATAATTCATCGTAAATCACTAACAATTAAATCTTGAAAGGCAATGAACTATTTGAGCCTTTGTGTCAGATAGACTTATATAACATGAAATCAAACTGATATGCTCGTGATATATGTTGATAGTAGATTTGAAATAGCTAAGAAGCTCTAGAGGATAGCTATGACATAGCGTTAGAGTGCGGTGATGTACGAATGAAGTACCAAGTTTTCACTTTTATTCATAACAACAGTTAGAGAACCTTCATCGTGTTTAAGATCTTTATTCCGTACGAATTGTGCTGAAAGGTTTTTCTTCACTATTTGTTTCTACAATTTTTCCCTCTTTTGACGACTATCAATGGACAAAAAAGTTTGTAGGACTATGAATTCTAAATTAGCTTTCTACGCTAATCGAATTTTCGCCAGACAGAAATTCTGAATCAACTATTAATATACTTTGCGTTTCACAAAAGATTCACCGCGTTATCTCTGATGTCTCTGCGAAAGATATGATTTAAATAATATGAAATGGCAAGAAATATATAATAAACTACAATAGCAGACAGTGATTTCATTTTGTTTGGATAATATAACTTGATATCGGAATGAATTGATAAAATAGTTATATTAGGGATATTTTGATGAATATTCACTCAATAGACATATTCTAATACATGTTTCTCCATAGAAATAGCCATTGACATCAGCTAGACTGAATTGGTATTCTGAGAAAGGACACTCATGATCAAGTTTTTCAAAAACTAGAAATGCAATATTTCGGAATAATCTATACCGATCGATATTGAAACAGTTATGCCTACCGAATCGGCCATTTACCATTACCGGTTGTAACACTGATATAGATAACTACGAACACATCATTATATGCTAGTCATGTAAAAGAAGAAAAAGAGTATAACACATTGTCAAGATCAACATCATGACAAAATCAAATCGAGAAAAAGAGAGAAGTGAAGTGTAACTGTCAGTGTCTGTTACAATTTATACTTCCGAGATTTTATTTTCACTCTTATTTAGTTGCACCATAGCGTTGTTTCCTCAAAAGTCGTTAGCTCATATATTTTCTGCAGAACGGACACCTTATCGTTTACAATTGACACTGTTCAAGAAAGCTTGTCTGTGCAGTCTCAGATGGAGCTAAAATGTGGCACTCACATTCAATTTCACTGAAATTTTCTTTAGTTTTTCAAAGTGCAGAACACTCTTTCGAAAACAGAAATCGATCGAAACAAACTCGTCTCGATCTAGTCATTTATTTCACACATCTTCTGCATTTTTAGACAATCTAAATGCTCCTCATTCGTTTCTATACTGCTCTCAATCATTTTTTGTTCATTTTTTTCTTTTTCGTAAGTCGTCTTCTGCCTGTCATTGATTCATCATTCGGATTCATTCTACTGTCACTCTGCGTCCAAGCAAGCTACCATATCTTCAAACTCTTTTACGAGTTGACTGAGCGATTCATGTCGTTTCACGTTGGCCCGTGATGATTTCCGCTGAATACAAATAGCTCGCAATATTTCTTGTGATGCATCCACAGTTATGTTGAAATGCTGGAGTTTTCTGAAAATGAGAGTGTCTGTAAGTGGATGAGAGGATTATAAGGTAGTGTTTTGTAGAGAAAGAAGCAGAACATTTCTGGATACAAAACTACACTCACTGTTTTCACAGTGACTTCCCCAAAATTGTGATGATGCCTCGGAGGAAGATACCGAGTTGACACATTTCTGTTTATCTTGTTTTGCTCCATAAGAGTAGACATCGGTTCCCATTGCTTGAGTTTTAAAGAATGCGTAAGTCATGCAGGTCAACAGAAGGAGTAATTTATTTCGGTACTTGTCATTGTCACGACAGTATCCCGTATTTGTGCAGTGTACCATATTCGAATCAGAAATTGTCGAACGTCTAGGGTGGATGAAGGAGTTTCGGTAATTTCTTGGTCGATAATGATATTCTTCGAAGTCAATGCAGACGACTCCGTTTTTCAATAATGCCAATTGTAATTCTTAAAGTGGAATTGAGAGAAAATTGCAGACTATTTTCTCACCAAGCGTTTCCACATGAAATTCTACATTCAGAAGACTATTTACTTATGAAAATCATAGAATTCATCGAAAAATCACTTTCCTATAGCCAAGTCTGACACTCCATTATAAATGTCAAACAAAAATCGGATCGTTTGTTTGAATGAAACTCATTTCTGAGAAAATGAAAAAGT